CTGAGATCTAAAGACTATGCTGAGTTTAACTGGTTGAGTTCACAAAGCTTTAACACGATGAAAGAAGTGGCAGCGTAACATCCCTGCTGAAAAAAACATAGAAACCAATGTTTTTGTTGGATTCCGAGTGATTTTGTCATGTGTTTTGGTTTTTCTTGATGGGTTGATTTCACAGTGTAAAGGATCCTCAAGGTCAATCAATCAACCTTTATTTAATCTCTGAGAACACTGAGGGTGACCCAGTGCCAGGTTAATACAGAGCAAGGGACTGATAATGTATAATATATATTGATAATATATTAAATACATAAAAATCTAAAAAAAATATTATATATATATATATATATATATATATAATATATATATATATATATATATATATATATATATATATATACACATATACACACACACACACACAGTAGTGTGAAAAAGTGTTTGCCCCTTCCTGATTTCTTATTCTTTTGCATGTTTGTCACACTTAAATGTTTCAGATCACCAAACAAATTTACATATTAGACAAAGATAACACAAGTAAACACAAAATGCAGTTTATAAATGAAGGTCTTTATTATTAAAGGACAAAAAAATCCAAACCTACAGGGCCTTGTGTGAAAAAGTGATTGCCCCCTAAACCTAATAACTGGTTGGGCCACCCTTAGCAGCAACAACTGCAATCAAGCGTTTGCGATGACTGGCATTGAGTCTTTTGCAGCGCTGTGGAGGAGTTTTGGCCACTCATCTTTGCAGAATTGTTGTAATTCAGCCACATTGGAGGGTTTCCGAGCATGAACTGCCTTTTTAAGGTCGTGCCACAGCATCTCAGTCGGATTCAGGTCAGGACTTTGACTTTGACTTTCTTAAGCCATTCAGAGGTGGATTTCCTGGTGTGTTTTGGATCATTGTCCTGCTGCAGAACCCAAGTGTGCTTCAGCTTGAGGTCATGAACAGATGGCCGGACATTCTCCTTCAGGATTTTTTGGTAGACAGCAGAATTCATGGTTCCATTTACCACAGCAAGTCTTCCAGGTCCTGAAGCAGCAAAACAGCCCCAGACCATCACACTACCACCACCACATTTTGTTGGTATGATGTTCCTTTTCTGAAATGCTGTGTTACTTCTATGCCAGATGTAACGGGACATCCACCTTCCAAAAAGTTCAACTTTTGTCTCGTCAGTCCACAGAGTATTCTCCCAAAAGTCTTGGGGATCACCAAGATGTTTTCTGGCAAAACTGAGACGAGCCTTTATGTTCGTTTTGCTCAGCAGTGGTTTTCGTCTTGGAACTCAGCCATGCAGGCCATTCTTGCCCAGTCTCTTTCTTATGGTGGAGTCATGAACACTGACCTTAACTGAGGTAAGTGAGGCCCGCAGTTCTTTGGATGTTGTTGTGGTGTTCTTTTGTGACCTCTTGGATGAGTCGTCGCTGCGCTCTTGGGGTAATTTTGGTCGGCCGGCCACTCCTGGGAAGGTTCACCACTGTTCCATGTTTTCGCCATTTGTGGATAATGGCTCTCACTGTGGTTCGCTGGAGTCCCAAAGCTTTAGAAATGGCTTTATAACCTTTTCCAGACTGATAGATCTCAATTACTTTGTTTCTCATTTGTTCCCGGATTTCTTTGGATCGCAGCATGATGTCTAGCTTTTGAGGATCTTTTGGTCTACTTCGCTTTGTCAAGCAGGTCCTATTTAAGTGATTTCTTGATTGAGAACAGGTGTGGCAGTAATCAGGCCTGGGTGTGGCTAGGGAAATTGAACTTTCCAAAGATGTGATAAACCACAGTTAATTTATGTTTTAATGGGGGGGTTCTTTTTCCCTTAATAATAAAGACCTTCATTTATAAACTGCATTTTGTGTTTACTTGTGTTATCTTTGTCTAATATGTAAATTTGTTTGGTGATCTGAAACATTTAAGTGTGACAAACATGCAAAAGAATAAGAAATCAGGAAGGGGCAAACACTTTTTCACACCACTGGGTATATATATTATGTATATATATTATATATATAAAGATACATTAAAAAAATATATATATATATAATTTTTTAAATGTATCTTTATTATTAATGTTTCACTTTTTATACTTACCTGATTTCAGTCTTTATTTATTAAATTTACTTTTATTATTTGATATGTTCTTATACATTATCAATCCCTTGCTCTGTATTAACTCGGCAACACTGTAAATGAGGGTCACCCTCAATGTTCTCCGAGATTAAATAAAGGTTGATTAATGTGTGACTTTTGATGGTTTTCTAATAGGACCTAAAGATGTCCTACAGTGAGTGGGTCCAAAGTCTGGCCCCAGGGCAAAACGCACCCCACCAACAGATTTTAAATGGCCTGTGGCTTCTGTTTAAGATTGTGTTATAAGTGGCCCGCCAGCAAATACACTGCAGATTTTCCTCTCACCTGGTGGTGGCAGTACTGCAAAATTACAGTATACTGCATCGCACTGTTAGCTAAGATTTAAGAGCCTTTCTTTTCTGACCAGACCTGCAGCTTCATTTACTGAATGACGTTTAGTCAAGATTACAGCCATAAAGCCCAAACTTAACAGTGAGAACCGGCTGTTTTGACGAGATGGAAATTTGAATACTTTTTCATTAAAAGCCACAGCAAACAGGTTTGCCTCATATTTCAAATGACTGTACAGAATTCAATGTCAATAGACATAAATCAAAGCATGGATGTTAGATATTACAACACATATACAGGAGACGGCAGAGAATCAGAGCAATTTCAGTAGCTCAGTAAATATTAACCCTTAAAGATCGAACAAAAATGTGGCTATTTATACTGTTTAATCTGCTCTACCGTTTAACCTCTTCAACTCCTTGAGACCACTGGTGGTTCCAAAACGCACTTCATCATATTCTTCATAACTTTCATATTTCATAAGCTACATTCAAAGGTGGGGGTCACATGAGAGCTGTAACTGTCTTCTTTCCAGTCAAATAGATGGGTGATGTCATTTTAAACCCTTATAATAAAAGAAGCTGAAGTTTTTTGTTTTTTCTACTGAAAGTCGACCCATTTTTCCACAAATCGGTGCTATAAACTATAAACAGATGGCGTCTCTTCAGTGATCTGCTCTGTAAACATTATTTTAGCAAAATAATACAAAGAGCGTCTAAGATTCTTGGCTTTCAGCAGTAAATTGTAAGCATATAGTAATATATGTATCATAAAACACATGTTCTGTTAATTTAAGGGGAGCTTTTAAAATAAACAAATAAATAAAATAAAAATTTACATTTATTTCATGCAGTTACTGAATAATTTGCCTTATTTGATTTGGTCATGTAAATTCAGCTGGAAAAACCAAAATATACCCTGGTCAATAAGAGGTTAATAAAGTGATTTCTGAATGTTGTTTCTGTGTTTCTTTGACATGTAAAGAACATTATTTAACAAAACTGAACAATTTTATTGATATTTGTTCAGCTTGTCTCACAAATGATATTTTTGAACAAGTAAACATTTGAAATAGAAATATAATTAATACATCAGCCATGTTTTATAGTTACTCTCAAACAAATTATCTGTTATAAGCATAGCTTTGTGCATCTTTTATACAGTGATAGGGAACACAGTAGTTCTCAGACAGCTCTAAATCTACGCGCTAATATTCTGAATTACTTATGAAAGATATTTCGGCCCTCGGGTATTTTGGCACGGTACGATCTAGCCCTCCTTTAAAAACATTTGGACACCCCTGTCCTACAGTGGTCTCCCATGGTAGCCATTACGCCAATTCCCATAAGCAGAACCATCCGGTTTTAATCCTAATGGTTCGGTTCTAAAGGTCTTTTTTTCAGCAGGGATGTTTTGTTTGTGTGTGAATAATGGCAAAGTAGAACCTATTTGTTCAAAAGCAACACTGATATGTTTACCTATATGCCTATAGACAGCAGGTGTGGCCCCCTGCCACAATTTCAGGGGTCCCTCTTCACGCACTATTCCCACAGCTGTGCTCAGCATACCCCTGTAGACAGTTCGAGTAGGTCCAGTCCTGCCATGTTCCGGAAGACCAGCTTCACCTTGGACCTGAAGCCTCGTTTTCGTAAGATCAAGTGGGAATGTGACTGAAATGGAATAAGCAACGGGAACAGACAGAAATATTCACCTTTAATAAATAAATAAGCCCATTCGCTTATCAATAAAAGTACATGGCTTTCAATGTTATCACACTGTTCTTTCAGTAGCTGGACATTTATTACCCAGTTCTGCAACGGTAGCAGCGAATGCAGACAGAATGAACTTTGACACAAGGGGGTACTGAGAATTTTCTTGCACGGGGTCCATCGCAGGCGCCAGCTGTCGGTTGTGAAGTTACAGATTAAAATATGTATATTTTCAACATAACGCGTCATTCAGCATCAGCAGAATCCAATTTCACAAACTACAAATTATCACTAACCTGAAGAGCATGCCGTTCCTCTGTTTACCCTCCTCGAGTCAGGACAGCGGCTTTCAGACAACATACGATTTCACTGTAGTTCAAAGTCCGCTTGCGTGCGGTTGTGTCGTATGGAATCCCGAGATGTTTTAAACTACATTTCCCATGTGCCGTAGCGTGTCAGACGCCAAACTGCCACAGCTACTCGCCACCTGATTGGACGGCCTGTTTCGTGACTCTCACATGCAAAACTTGGCGGCTTTTTAAAATAACCTGTTGTAAGGAGAGCTTGTCTGCTCAAATGTACTCACTTTAGATTTAGGCGTATAAAAATATAAACATTTTATTCAGCTAATGCTGGCTAGCGGGCAGCAACTACTGATTGTAAAGTTATTGTGCCATCTGGCGGCCGAACCCGAACACAGCTACATTATATGTGTGGCGTTAAAATACATTAAAAGGGAAAAAAAATAATTAAAAGTGCTAATTAAAATAGACATTTCTCTCAGTCGCTGGTCGCCCATCCGATTAGCCTCATCAGTTTCTGTTACTATATCAACAGCCCCGAGCAGGGGCGCGCGTGACGTCACGCCCAGCTCCATTTATGGTGTTTAGTTTCTCATCTCAGTCAGTCCGAGTATTCAGATCAGCAACGCCGGCTGAAGAGAGGAAAGCCTCGCCTGGGTGAGCTGTGGCTTTATCGACTTATCGAATGACTAGAAAATCGATTTTCCTCCGTGCGTCTTAATCATAAACGCCAGACCAGTGTTGTGCTTTAACGCGACGGGGCTGAAGTTGGTTTCCCATTCGCCTGCTTCTTCTTAGAATTTCGCCGGTCCACCTTAAATGGTGCAGCAGTTACATGCGCCAGATTGATACTGCTGTGCCATTTAAGGTGGACCGGCGAGATTCGAATAGGAAGCTGAGTAACAGCCGGCATCATTGTGCGCTCGGGCTGTGTTTAAAACGCGAGTCTGCGTCTCCTGAATGGGTTTTCTGTCAAAATATCCGCCTAATTTTATTAACAATACCTCGGAAATAATATTCTGTGCTTTTACGGTGTTTTTAAACCACCGTGTGGGGATTTATTTTAGAAAAACCGTGTAAACTTCCGCCTTTCCTGGCGTGCTGAGTGAGTGTGGTCACAGTGGTCATGTGCATCTTAAAGCCGGCGGCTTTGTCTGTGTTTCCGCCGGCGAGCTGCAGCTGCAGCCTGTTAAATATAACTCCCTCGACGGTTTAAATGAACCTGGACAGTAAAACCTACCTGTACGTCGAGCGTTGTCTTGTTTCGTAGGCTGGGGGGCGCCTCCCTGCCTCCCAGCGCTCAACTTACTTTGAGGCACTTGATAATGCATTAATTCTCATTCAAAGAAGTTCATTCCTGAGCTGTGGAGTCCAGGAATGAATTACTCATTACTCATGTATATTTTATAATATATAATATATAAAAGCTAAGAATCTGAAATCCAGACCGTTTGAACTGTTCACCCTTTTCACACTGTGTGTATTAAGTAAGACAGTAAATGCGTTTAGGGCCACTGAAGAATAAGAAAGGGGATATATGTTATGAGTGTAGCCTACATTTCCCAGGTACATATACATGTCCCTACATTCCATTCAGACCTCATCAGTGCCTTCTGAAGACAAACACCTCCATATAAGGGCGCTGCTTCCTTTGCTGTTCAGTAGGGGGCTGGTAAGGTGTCCATTGGCTGGTTGAGTGAACGTGTTCACACCAACAGAAAGGTTGTATATTGGGTTGTGCGTTGGGTCAAGAGTCCTCTAATAGGGCATTACATACACGTCTAATCACTATTATGTGAGATGACGGCAGTTATTTAAGCTGACTGTAGTCATTTCCCATAGTCGTTGGATTTCACAGTAATATGCTGCAACAGACCACATGTGCATTGTGTATGTTGGGTTAATAGTAAACGAGAAGAATTGAGCTTATTAGAGAGCAGAGCTCATTAATGGTTGCTTATTTATTAGCTATGTAGCTGTGTAACAACTATTTTGAGTGCATGCTTGCAGAATTAGTTTTTTGAAATTATTTATATGACAATTAATCGTCAGTTAAAATGTCGTGATCATGACAACCCATCATCTAAACCGCTTATCCTTCTGGGTCGCGGTGGGGTGCTGGAGCCTATCCCAGCTGTCATTGGGCGGAAGGCAGGATACACCCTGGACAGGTCGCCAGTCCATCGCAGGGCAGACAGACAGACATACACATTCACACACACTCACACACACCTAGGGGCAATTTAGCACTTCCAATTGGTCTGACTGCATGTTTTTGGACTGTGGGAGGAAACCGGAGTACCCGGAGGAAACCCACGCAGACACGGGGTGAATATTCAATAGAACTTGCCCTGTGTGACTGGAGCTTCTGCAGTGTCTCTCCTCTGATCAGTCCCCCTTTTACATGCATATACAGACACTTTTAGCCCTCGTTTCTCAAACTTCATGGACCACAGTACTGACCAGTTCAGTGTTTGTCCTGATTTAAAGAGACGCACTGGTCAAAACGGAAGCTTGAACCATTTTGAACTATACATTTGGTGTAAACATGCCAACTTTCCTCCTACAGCAGTGCCACGGTAGTGTCTAGAGCCAGAAAACCCCCTTCTGATGATGTATTTTGAAGGTGGAAGGTACTTTTGAAAAATGCTGACAGATATAAGCTGTGTCCCAATTCAGGGGCTGCATCCTATGAAGGCGTGTCCTTCGAAGGCTGCGTAGACCCGCAAAGCCTAAACCAAAATGAGACGGTCTGCCCAACGGTGGATTTCCTGTTTGCGTCACTGTTCCCGCTCTTACCGCTGCGCCACGAAACGCTGCTGCTGTCAAGTTCTTTTAAAGCTCTTTAAAGAAACTTTGATTTTAGTTTATTTTTTCATTTATTAGAGCTGGAGATGCTCCTTGCTCCCTAAAACAAACTGTAACGTTAGTGTAAGTGCAGCTTCAGACCACGTTGGCTTTTTCCAAATCTGTATCATTAGCTATTCAACTCAGTGTAAACCCAATACTCATATTTAAAAGTGTCTCCTCAGCCGCCGTTCGCTCCTCTGCTCACGCCGCCATGTACTCAAATCCTCACCAGCACGCAGTGAACCTCGGGATATGTTGGCTGGCGAAGGATCCACCTGTTGGATCCTTCATTGCCATGGAAAAGAGGGACACATTTCTCGGCCGCATATGAAGGAGGCTTTGAGATAGGACAGCCTAGTCGCACCACTTTGATACAGTCGGCCTTCAAATGCAGCCCCTGAATTGGGACACAGCTCTAGTGTGCACAACAGAAAGTGCTAGTTTTAAGCTGGAATGCCTTTTTACCATCTACAGAGTTTGATGAGCCCACTGCCCTGGACATTTTCATTGTGTTTTCTTTCTAAAACCAGTTTTAAATCATGGAGCTTTGCTTAATTTAATTATTTGCTTAAATCCAGGGACAGTGTGAAACGGAGTCGAGAACAGGAGTCTCTAATTCAGGAGAACGCTTGAATTAGAGCAGTGAAAAAGGAAGTGTGCAGTTTAGCGGCCCTCCATGATCAGTTACCTGTTTTCATTACCTCTTTCCTGACCTGTCATGTTATATCTCTATTCTGAGTTCTCCTAAAGGCTCCGCCGCTGCTTCTACATCCAAAGATGATTCACTGCAATTTAAATCAAATTACTGCGGTTTATCGCAACCAGAGGCTGATTTTAGCTTGTTATTTTCATTTGAAAGGCTGCAAGGAAATTACAGTAAATGCTTTCACAGTGTGCCCATGTTAAAATGTGCAGTATGTACATTTACCATGTTCTCGGTTCGTAAACGCAGAGGTAGTTCTTACTGGGATGAATTCACATATTTACTACTTTATCTATTCTTTTTTTTGGGGACATGAAATAGTTGGCATGCAATGCTGGTACTTCATAACGTTTTAAAGAATATGTTTGACATCCTCCCCTAAAAATGGACAGAAAACAAGGGTTTTTGTTTAGAGAACAAAAATTAATTGTGCTTTGTTTTGTTTTAAGAAATATTAGCTGACAGCTTCATGTTTTAAGTCTTCATACTACAATTACTGCATACTTCACTGTTTGCAGACATAATTCTGTGTCATTATTTACTCCACTGTTAAAAAGTTTGGAATCACTGTTTTCAATGATTATGAGAAGAATTATTCTAATGTTTTTGTCCTGTGCAAATTTACAGTTTTCATGTAATTAATAGGACACTAGTACGCTGTGAATGAAACATGAAGGAGCTTTAGAAGCGTTGAGTGATGAGCAGAGCTGTAGTTCATAAAACTATTTAGCTGTTTATCATCTAGAGTTGTTCTAATTATATTACCATCCATCATACTTTAAATTTCAAGGCAGATAAAATGACAAATTGGTGTTAATAGATAATTACAGTATATTTTTTAGCATTGTTTGTTTGTAGGATTTCCTAAAATATTGAATTAAGCATCCAAAAATACTTGTGAGTAGTTTGTGGTGTTTGATTCCATATTATATAAATTATTGTATATAAAATAAGTCATTAATATGGAACAGGAACGGCTGTTATTTGCAGTACAGCTATTTGAAACTTAAATGCTATTTTGCTATTTTTACAACATTGTTACTTTACTGATTCCTAATTTTTTGAACCTCGTCTTTTAGACACTATACCGCCCTGAATTGACTGACACCTGAAAAATCTCTACACTGAAGTAATTCTATGATGACAAATCCATTGAAATATATTTTTTCCCCTCTTTCAGTGGAAAAAATGAACGTGGAACACGAAGTAACACTCCTTGTGGATGAGATTCGTCGACTTGGCAGCAAAAGTAAGAATCATCTCATCCATCATTACTGATTGTGTTCTTGTCTCATTGAGGTAACTTGTAAGTAACTTCATTAGGTTCTACACGTAGCTCACAGCATGCCCACAGTCTATAGGCGGCATCTCCAAATGTCATACATCATCATTCTCAGGAAGATGTAAGATTTTTTGGTCCACTGCCTCTTTGGGACGTGTCCAGTCAATTGCAACTGAGCCCAGCGGTTGTTTTCGAGAGCCATTTAAATGGCCTACTTTTCTTCCGTGGGCAATTTTGCAAGTCATAACATTGAGCTACCACTCCCTCTGTCATAACTTTCACTTCAGCAGCCAGTGTGCATGTTCAGAATCAGAGTTTCCGTGTGAGGTGCCTCCTTGTTTAAATGCTCCGCCAAGAAATACCAGCGTACACAACTACACACAGATGCAGGGTGTGATTTGAACTAAAAGTCCAGGTGAAGAAACATGTTTTTCCTATGGTGAAGCTCAATAAACCACATAAACATTCACTGTTAATCAGCAATTAAAACAAAATCTAATGTACACAGTTTGTCTCCTTAACCTTAAAATGTTGTTTACAAGCTAAAACTTTTTGGAGTTTCAAAGTTTAATTCTTTAGTTTTTTGCCTTTGAGCTGTTAGGCTAACAAGTAAAGGACCAACCGACCAATTAGCCTTGTTGCAAACTTCAAATATATATATATATATGTGTGTGTGTGTGTGTGTGTGTGTGTATATATATATATATATATATATATAATATATATATATATATATATATATATATATATATTGTCCATTTTATCAGCTCCACTTACTATATAGGTGCACTTTGTAGTTCTACAGTTACAGACTGTAGTCCATCTGTTTCTCTGCTACCCTGTTCTTCAGTGGTCAGGACCCCCATTGACCCTCACAGAGCAGGTACTATTTGGTTGGTGGATCATTCTCAGCACTGCAGTAACACGGACGTGGTGGTGGTGTGTTAGTGTGTGTTGCGCTGGTCTGAGTGGACACTGCTGCTGGAGTTTTAAACACCTCAGTGTCACTGCTGGACTGAGAATAGTCTACCAACCAAAAATAACCAGCCAGCGTCCTGTGACCGCAGATGAAGAACTAGAGGATGACCAACACAAACTGTGCAGCAGCAGATGAGCTGTCGTCTCTGACTTTACATCTATACATCAGTGTCACTGCAGTGCTGAGAATGATCCACCACCCAAATAGTACCTGCTCTGTGAGGGTCCATGGGGGTCCTGACCACTGAAGAACAGGGTAAAAGGGGGCTAACAAAGTATCAGAGAAACAGATGGACTACAGTCTGTAACTGTAGAACTACAAAGTGCACCTATATCGTAAGTGGAGCTGATAAAATGGACAATGAGTGTAGAAACAAGGGGGTGGTCATAATGTTATGCCTGATCGGTGTGCATGTATAACCATTGCTTTACGAAGCCAACTGAACAAAATGGACAAAGGTATGTTGAACAGCTATAAACAGTAGCCAAACTGAATCCTGAATTTTGTCCACAGTGTAGTCAGTTCTTATAAATGGTGTCTGATGTTTATTGACTAAGCATGATGACTACATTTTGGTATTTTTTGCTGAAGTGTTCCTTTCATATGAACACTAACGACTGAGAGTGATTAAAATGGAAAACTTGATATTGATCCACAGCCAAATTACCACCCCTCACTCTTTTACAGACTCAGATGGCAAAACCAGCGTCAAATTTGGAGTCCTGTTCAACGACGACAAGTGTGCCAACCTCTTCGAGGCGCTCGTCGGAACGTTGAAAGCAGCCAAGCGAAAGAAGGTCATCACGTTCGACGGGGAACTCTTACTGCAAGGAGTTCATGACAACGTGGATGTCATATTACTGCAGGAGTGAACTTGACAGGCTGTCTTCTAGTCAAACACAGTGGTTTTGTTTTGAGAGATCTCAGTGCTGCAATGAGTGAGCAACGTTTTGATATCACATAATCATGAATGTATCATTTTTCTACATTGGAATATTTTTTTTTATAAAGCTGAGGGGAGTGAGCTGCATCCCAAACTCGTTTCTTTTCTTTTAAATGTGCAACAGCCTTTGATTATTGACATGGTTGATGTGGCTACCTCTTGTAGACTTTTATCAGTTTTTTAAATCACTTTTCGTGACCTCAGAACCAAATGATTATTGCGTTTCTGGCACATATCAGTACTGTATTTGTTTGTGAGCAAAGGTTATGGATGCTTGACATCAGTATAATTTCTACTGTAATTAATTTTTAATGTCTTACAGAAGACTCAGCCAATGACCTTCCGGTGCAATACTGTTACTGTGACAATGGCCATCGTATTTGTACCAAATGTTTAGTTCATTTGACTAAACGTTTTCTATTCGGGTAACCTGTACTTAAAAGTAATGCTTGAAATTTGATAAATGAGCTGAACCAATGTGGAAACTTGAGTAGAAACCTAGCAACAAATAAATGCCTTATGAGGTTTTTAGCACACATTTCTATATGAAATTTGAGACTATAGTGCTGGAATGGTTGAAATCTTTTTAAGTTCATCCACTTGATGGCTGCATCCCATTAAAATGGGACAACACAAGTAGCAATAGGAAAAACCCTGAAGCTTTTGGCAAGACAAATGCAAGATTTGTGTTATGGAATTCAAAGGAATCACACTGTCTGAATCCCAGATGGCTCCCTTTTGGACATATAATACACTTTAGAGGTGCAGAAGCCATTCATTTTTGACCTATATAGGGTGCTTCCTACGTGCACCATGTAGGGCACTACCTAAGTGCACTATATAGGGAGCATCTGAGATTTAGACTGTGAACAGGGTCTACTCAAGATCACTGATTTACACTGAAATGATCTACACTTTGCCTTCATATCAGCGTTCTGATATAATTCACCTCATTAAAATTGTACCATTTGTAGTCTCTCAAACTGTGTGTTTATTTTGATTTCGAATTAAAATGACCCTGATAAGTAGGTTTAGTGCATGCCATATCTTATCTTCATCAGACATTAGGTCAGCGTAAGATACCATCACCAGCATTGGACATTATAAACCAGCTTAAGAAAACAGACGGCTTGAAATTTAAATGGGAGCCTACTCAGGAATTATGCTTTTAAATAAACATTAACTTGATAAGCGTAGTTAGTATGCGTCATATCTATATTTATGTAGATAAATGATACTATCACCACCATAAAACACCACACAAGATGCCATCTCCAGTGTGAGAAACATAAGACAACTGAAACATGCTGTATTAGCATTGTAAGATGTAAGTATAATTCATGATAGCAAAAGAAAAGAGACAACGTGATGTTGATCCCATCGGGACAGAGGACCATTTAACACTCCATTCCCCTTCTGTAAGTGCAGGCCATCTTTAGGCCCTGGAACTGCCCAACTGCTGCTATTAATAACCCCATAGTTGGAGATTGGGGTGGGGGGGCGGAGGCCCCGTGACGTAAGGAGGGAGGAAACGGCATCACTCCGCCCCTTTTCTCTTCAGAGCATAAGACGACTGATTCAGTTCTAACGAACCGATTCGTTTGAACAGTGAATCGATTGCCCGAGTCTACGAATCGTTTTCCGCTGAGGCTCGGAGTAGTACAATGTTTAAAGTTTAAAATTAACTTTATTCACAAGTTATCGATATATAACAACTTTAAAAGAATCAGGCTGATGTCGCTAAGTGTACTCCGGACTCGGTAAGTCTAGAGACTAGGATGCACAGCAGACAGAGAAAATGTACGTGAATTTAAACAGGTTACTTTGCGGTATTTTGTGCTGCAGTTTTACACTGGGAAATATGATTATTTGTGTTTTATTTGAACCCTTCTGTCTTCAACACCGATGTAAACGTACCAAATAAGTTCGACTCAGTCGTACTCACGAATCGGTTCGAGTGATTCAGTTTAAAAGAATCGGTTCAGAAGAACGACTCGTTGGCGAGTCGGACATCGCCACTTCAGAGACAAGAATCAAAACAAGCCGAGCGGACACGCCTTCGCCATGGCTCTCGGTCTCCTGTCAGAAGAAAGCGCGCCGCTCCGCACCGCGGCGTTCGAACTCGCGCTTTAACGGCTCCGCGGGCGCGTTCTGTCTCGAGACCGACAGACACGAATCAACGGGAGGACGATGGCGGGCGACGGTCGCTGACGGACGGGCGGGCGCTTCTTCGACGAGCGAGCGAGAGCGCGGCCGCTATGCCCAACCAGAAGAGCGGCAAAGGGAAGAGAAACAAGCGGACGAACAGCAGCGGCGACGAGCAGGAAAATGGAGCCTCAGCGGCGGCGGCGGCGGTGGCGGCAGCGGCTGCGGTGGCTGCGACGGGAGGAGCGCAGGGGGCCGCCGGAGCTACAGGAGGGGCTGCAGGAGCTCCGCTGACCGAGAACAGAGGTGGGGGGCGAGGAGAAAAACACCACCCGCTGCCCACAGACTGTTTTGGTGGGGGGAGGAGGAGGAGGAGGAGGAGGAGGAGGAGGAGGAAGAAGTGGGGGGAGGAGGAGGAGGAGGAAGAAGGGGGGGGTGAGGAGGAAGCCTGCCTCATGTGCTGCTGCACGATGCTAAAGCCAAATTACCTTCGTTTGTGGCACGAGGCTTCTTGCTCGAATTCCCCCGTTCCACCTTAAATGTTGAAGCAGCCCCGGACGCCAGAACGTGACTGCTGCACCATTTAAGGTGGAACGGGGAAATTCGAACAAGAAGCTTGCCTTCACCTTCGTGTTCCTGGCAATGTAACGAGTCGTTCTTGTGGAGCGCTTCTGTCCGATAAATCGGTCGAGTCGATTCATAAGGTCAAATGAATCGAGCTTTCTGTGGCGTCTACGCAGTGTTTACGTCCGCGTTACGGACTCGAATAAAACAAAGCGTTCGCACTATAAAATCACGACCAAAACGCCACACCGTCGCGTTTTAGGAGCTTCCTATTTGAATCAGTGTAGATTCTCTGTCTGTGGACTGAGCTGTTTAGGTGCCAGCTCTCTTAGAGAGAGTCGGACAAGTCTGTGCTGGACATCTGATTCTGATTCACTCGTTGAATGTCGTTGCACATGGCGGATGGTGAAAATGAATGACAATATGAGAACAAGTACTTGACCACAAGTAGTTGACTTCACTCCTCGTTTCCCCCCCCGCCCCCAGCACGAAACGAAAGTGAACCTCTGAATCGAATGCTCGAATCGCTGGAACGGCGAGTTCGAAAGAGTCGATTCGGCCAAACAGATTCGAACTTCATCACTTGGTTCCTCGCTCGCACAGATCTGTTTGGAACGGGTCTCGGCACGTCTCACGCTTTGATGCAGAATTTAGCTCTTACGCCATAACCTTGGCTTTACCTTGTGTTTTAGTGCTTCCTCCTTGTCGTCGTGCTCGGCAAGGTTGCGTAGGCCTCGCTCAAGGGTACTCAGAGATTCAAACGATTCATATCCTTCTTTCACGTGATGTCAAATCAAAGCAGCAGGACGTCCACTGTGTGTTATCAGTGGTTCTCGCAGTAGCTGACACTGACTGTTGGGTAGTGAAGGTCAGCTTTTAGTAGTAGTACATCTTCATGCATCTGACTGGTGTGTCAGTCTTTCTTATTAAATGCACAGACTCTGAGTGGAAGTGAGGATGCACAATGATATATCGGACTCATATCGGCATCGGCGTTTTTTTGCTCAAAACAGATACATTTGTCTGATGTTTTGACCCAATATTTAATGCTATATTTATCGTTCGCTGGAAGAGCAGAAGGTGTAGGTGATGCTGGACTGCTGCACTAAACATCTGCGTTTTTTTTTCATCATATCACATTTATAACCCTATGGAAATAAGTGCTATATCTACCTAGATGAGCATTATGAAGAGATATAACATTTATTTCACTGCATTTGTATCAGAAGGAAATATTATATCTCTCCATAATGCTTATCCAATTACATTTAATCCCAATTTCTGCCTACGTTTTATAAATGTTTATGCATCTGCGTTCGCAGATATCACTGCTGTCGGAACAAAACCTCAAATCTCCATTTTTGTTGTTTTTCATTTTTTGACATAATTTGAAAAAACCCATTGACCTTTACATTGTCTGTGAATCTCATGATGAATGGACCAACAGAAATGACCCAAAATGGCTTGGAAAAAATTCTGGTTCCATTGACTTGCATTAAAAGTTGAGAATGTTTTTTCCTTCTCCTGTAAAGTTACCATTTTGGAGATACGGTTTTGTTCCGACAATAATAAAATTTGCATTGGCCCATAAGTCCCGCATCAGCGCATCCCTGAGTGTAGGTGTGAGATATATTAAGCAGTATTCACAGATGAATTTGGGTCAGTATGTCCTCTCTTTCTCTCTTTGTCTCTCTCTTTCCCTCTCTCTCTCTCTCACACTCCCTCTTATGCACACACAGCATCTCAGGAACACACAGTCGGTCCATGCGAGAGTGTTGCGTAATATTTTTTCTTTTGAGTACTCTTCTTTGTGTGGGTAGCTCACCCACAGAGTTTGCACAAATAGCACACTGATTCTTAGAATTCATCGAGATTGCACTGTGGCGCCACGGGTCCTCTGGTCTATTGATAAATGTGCATTTATGAATTGTCCAAGGTCAGATTTGCAAGGAATCACTTGCAGGCGATTGATTTATAAGCCATAACTGTTTAGCTGATTGAATTAGGAGTCCTAATACACTACTCAGCTACACTTTTATGAAACCCTGTGATGGATAATTCACTCAAATATATTTGCTTTACAAGACTGTAACACGTCCAGTGCACTTACACCAACAAGATCAAAGCCTGGGTTGACCGGAGTTCAGATGTACAGTTTTCCCCTTACGCCAGATATATTCGATCGGTTCAGACATGTTTGGTGTCTGAAGTTTTGCGTCTTTACTTTTGCACCAGAGGCTGATCATAACAAATCAGATTGCTGGATTAGAAAAGCAATCGGCCAATTGATTATTATCTTGATTTTGGTTTAAATTTTAATGAATGGTTAAATTTTATGATGCAAATAATGTGAGGAAGGTAAGCTATATTTGAATGCTGCTGCTACACCTGTACTGAAACGTCATAGCATCATTACGCACAACTCATTGTGCTAAATAGCAAGTTGTGTCTAACTTTCGATGTACCGCTTTGCTTGATATGTTGTTTTCTTAAACAGGTAATTGATTATTTGTTTACAAATTAAAAATGCCAGTTTGGCCCATTCATAAAAAAGGAGTGGTACTAGTGATGTGTTCACACGGTGTGAGCTTCCAGTATTAAAAAATCAGCCACCAGCCAGTTTCGATATAAATTCACTGAAATCAGCCATAAAACTTATTGTTATTAGAATCTCAGCTAACATGTTCATAGCCAGCAGTTCAGCATTACGTAAACTGTATTGCGTGCTCACCACACAGTTGCTTTGACTACTAAAATAGACCAACTTATGTGGTTTCTGACAGCTTTTATCTGAAATTTTGACCATTTTTATATATAGTAGTATGTCAGGCAGACTCAAAAATCACCTAATCAAGTCTATTTGAGTCTATTTTGCAGCTTAATACATTTGAGGCAAGGCAGTAGGCAAATAGTTTGCATGATGCTAATTGGTTGCAAATAAGTGGTCATAATGTGTTAGCTACATTAGCCTAATAGCTCCAGTGCAAGCCTAAATAAGCAAACTTAAGACACTACTAAGTATGTCTCAACTGATTGATGACATTTGGAATATAGGGTTAACTGTAAATTTGACTCTTTGTGGCTGAGCCATCACTGTAAGTATTATGATTGCAATGTCAGTTGATAGCTGATGAAATTAACTAAAGTCAGGGTTACACTACACGACTTTTACCCCAATTTAGCCCCGATTCTCAGTCTGGCTGAGTCTGAGCTGATCGGCTCTAGTCTGCAGATTTTTGGGTCAGTCGGGGTCGACAGTTGGAGAGAGAATTGAGTCGTGTTTGAGGGGCGACTCAGATTTCTGGCCGCCCGATCACGTTACAGACTAGTTGGAGTTTTTTTCGACCTGACTCTGAGTGTAATCTAGTGTAAACTGGTTAATGACTCAATCTGAACGGATTCCTGCAACAACCAATGAAAACTGAGAGCGTGAAAGAAGAAAATACAGCAAGTAAACAAAGAACAATGGTGAAAAGTTTCTCACAAAGCTTTTTAATGAGCTGAGTTTAGGGCACAAGCACAATCGAGTTAATGTACATTTAAAACTCTAAAAAAATACCAAACTGATCGCATTTTTAAATCAATGACCATCAGTTAAACATGTTTATCTGCTGCTTCTTTAGTGTGTCAGTGCAGGCGGCAGAGAAAACAACAGCAGCAGCAGCTCCACATTTGTTTATTTGGGTCTTTTAGTAACGGGAGAGCATGAGAGTTCAGTGAGTTCTGTCCGGTTCTGCAGCAGCAGAGTAGTGTGTGATCCCCAATATTTTAGTCGCCCCAAAAAATCTTCAAAAACCTGTCGGACAGAGTGAGACGCCCAGTCGTTTATAATCTGTTCAGATTTTAAAAGTTGTGTAGTGAACCCAAGGCTTAAGGTAAACATTGCCTGTGTTTTGTGTTGTCTTTTGCAGACGCGCCATGCGCCACTCCTCTGGTGTGTAGCGTGGGCCGTGCAGTGGACCTGGAGAAGGACGAATACCAGCGGGTGCTGTGCAACAGTGAGCACTGTCCCTTTGGCAACTGGATGCACCTGCAGTGCTTCTATGAGTGGGAGAGCAGCATCCTGGCGCAGTTCAACTGCATCGGTCGCGCCCGCAGCTGGAACGAGAAGCAGTGCCGGCAGAACATGTGGACCAAGAAGGGCTATGACTTGGCCTTCCGCTTCTGCTCATGCCGCTGCGGCCAGGGCCACCTGAGGAAGGACACAGACTGGTACCAGGTCAAGCGGATGCAGGACGAGCGCAAGAAGAAGGTGCTGCCGGAGAAGAGCGGTGCCAAGGCCAAGGAGGGAGGTGCGTCTGGTGCGTGCGGAGGGGAGGCCCCGGAGGAGCCCAAGAAAGGGAAATCGTCCAGTAAGCTGGCTCACCGAGGCTCCAACCAGGAGCTGGCGCGCCGCCAGTCTGTGGACCGGCAAAACTCTCAGGAGAGAGGCCACGCGGGTCTGACCTGCGACTCGCCTGGACAGTCGCCGCCCTCGGGTTTCTCCTTCTTCTCCCCTCAGCAGGCTGGAGGCCCGCGCAGCTCCCGGCATCTAGGTGAGTTCCTGAAGAGCGCCGTCCACATGGAGGGTGGCCGGAAGCACCTTTTGGCCACCCGTGGGGCCGCACACCCTGACCACGGAGCCGCAGCGGCTGGCCTATGCCTGCCCCGCCTCATGCCAGGCGATAACCCTGTGCAGTTTCTGCAGAGGCTGGACCTCTCCGAGCTGCTGGCGCATATCCCCCGCCACAAGCTCAACACCTACCACGTGCGCATGGAGGACGACGCGCAGGCCGGCCAAGGAGAGGACCTGAGGAAGTTCATCCTGTCGGCGCTGAGCGCCAGCCACCGCAACGTGGTCCACTGTGCCCTGTGCCACCGCACGCTGCCCATATTTGAGCAGTTCCCGCTGGTGGACGGGACGCTCTTCCTCAGTCCCTCGCGCCATGACGAGATTGAGTACGACGTGCCGTGCCATTTACAAGGTGAGGTTCTGGTGTTACATACCTTAGCTGTAGTTGCTCGTATTCATCTCAGTTTTATTTAAAAGAGCATTGTCTTTTATCACAAATACAGTTTTTCTACTGTTCAAAAGCTTGTTGTATTAATAGTTTTTGTTGTTTTATATACAATAACAACCATGTATTTTACATCTACAAAAATACAGTGTAGAGTTAAGTATCAAATACACACAAGGCATGTCTTGATCTGATCCCATGGATCAGGACTGGAGCTGGTCCAGGCATATCCAGGCATGCTTTACCAAACTTATTCTGTTTATATGCAAAAGTGCTAAATCAGAGCCATTTTTCTTTGTGGAGTGTAAAGAAACTTTCTTATTAATCAGTGTTTGTGTCATAATTGTCTCAAAATCTAGTAAAATTTGTAATGAAAATGATACAGTTGGTGGTGTAATTGCAAAAATACACCGTGCTGTACCTTAAAATATTGGCACTGGTGAGCTACGGTCGTAGATCAGCGTACCAGTGCCTGTTATTAGATTTTGACACAATTATAGCACAAAAACTGACAAACAAGAACGTTTGTTTACACTCTAGCACTGCTGCATGTGAATGTTAATAATTAAAGCATTGCAATGCAGAACTTTCATGACGTCTACGCTGGAAATGTTAAGTCTTTTCATCGAGGCAAAACATAAACAAACTATAAACTAATCAGCTGACAGCTGAGAACTAGTATATTTAAAAGCAGTATCAGTAGCTCATATTAGATTAAACAACACTAATGAAAACTTCAGGGCAGCAATGTTTATATAAAAGTAGGCAAAGGGTCATACAGCTCTCTTTTCTCCACCTGATGGATTAGTTTATCCATTTTTGGCTATTTTAACTGTGTTTTGATGAAAGGCGACAGGCTTAACCGCAGTATTTAAGGTGGAACATCAGCTGATGCAACGTGTCAGAAATAGAAAGAGGACGTTTATCAAAAACGGGCCTCTGCCACTCGTGTCTTGTTGTTGCTGCATTACAGACAAATAAAGTGGGGAGATACTTAGAGATTGATTCCGAATGCCTTTATCAGAAGATACTGTCACACAAAATGCCTGTTAGCAAATCACATTGCAAAGTCAGAACCAAATATAATAATAATAATGGATCGAATATCGGCCATAAATGCCTGATCCAGTTCCGGCCCCTGAAAGTCTGCAGTGTTTACACTGAGGAATTATTTTACTCAGAATATGAAAATCTAAAATACAGGATGATTTAAAAAGATTCCTCCGATTTCAAAATGATTTATTTCACTTGTAAATCGTTACAGATCAATGCAGTGAACTGTAAATGGTTTAAATGAGCATAAAGTTTATTATGTAATTGTACAAGGTCTCAGTATGAACCTCCTCCAGCTGTACAGACAACATCAACACCATAGTCAAACTCATCCCATACTGGATTGAGCATGTCGGGTGTTGCTGCACTCACGGCTCTTTCAGTGCGATTTCGGAGATCATCCAGTGTTGTGGAACCAACGATGAACCTTCTGAGCTGTTGGAGGTTCACTGCCCACGAAAATCACAGTTATGACGGATTCACTCTTATTGAAGTGGAGAACGCAGAACGCTTTCTGCTCAGGGGTCTCATCTCCTCTCAGACTGAAGGGAGCCATCTTCCACTGACGGTCAGAAACTCTATGACCCCCGCTTTCAATTGGATTGTGATTGGTTCCTAGGCGCCTCACGGTTGTAAAATATGGCGCTTTGAAATCGGATGAATCTGTTTGAATCACCCTGTATATCTGTAATATTTGCAGTGCCAGTGTTTGAGCTAGCCACGTTTCGTCTAAACCCTGGCCGTCTAAACCCTGGTACACTTCCACTTCCACTAAGATAAAGGACCAGGAGCGCATATGTTAGAGCATTATGAAACCTTTCTGTGTTCACAACAATATAACATGGTTATTTCTCATAAATAGTGTACCACTATGCACATATCAGAAGTTGAGTGATTTCACTGTATATTGTTAAAGTTCTGCTGGCTGGACAATCAAATTTGATCATAAGCCAATATTAGAGTATAGTATAGTAGAGTATAAAACATTAATTTAAAAGCATATATGCCTAGAAACAACACACATCCACAGTTTTGCATTGTGCACATATTAAAAATGAGAGTAAATTTACTGTAGTATTTATTGGCAGTTTAACATACGTTACCTGAGTTGTGTGGCTGTATTATATATCGTTGCTGTCCGAAGAAAACCTCGTATCTCCATTTTTGTCGTTTTTCAGTTTTTGACAGAATTTGAAAATGCCTGTTGCCCTTGAATGACTTGGAAAAAAGTCTGGTTCCATTGACTTACATTAAAAGTAAAGTAGGTTTTTTCCTTTTTCTGTAAAGTTACCTTTTCGGATATACTTTTTTCATATTCCGACAGCAGCAATATGAAAACGAGCAGTATGGAATTTTATTGAACGTTACTCAACATTAAAGTGGTCCAGTTAGATCTGGGGGAAACGAGTACAGTCATACGTGAAAGTTTGGGCACTCCTGGTCAAATTACATATTTTGAAAAAAATAAGTGTTAACACATGCTCTACAGACAACAAACTTCTGAAGATCTTTATGCAAGATTACTGTTTATTTAGTTGTGTACTACTATCTGTACTGGAGGAAAAAAATATATATAAAACGTAAAATATTTTATTTTTTTTTAAAAATGATAAACTGTTTTTTATAAAAGCAAATCAGTAGAAATTGTGCACTAAACTTTGCAGGAAAATGCCATAATCTGTCTTCCCTGTATAAGATATAAGATAATTCAGCACCACTGGGCAACTGTATTAGCACACAAAGGAATTAGACCTCTGCATTTTGACCCATCCATGCAGTGAAACACCCACATACATGCAGGTGCGGTGGGCAGCCCTGTCCACGGCGCCCGGGGAGCAGTTCGAGGTTAGGTGCCTTGCTCAAGGGCACCTCAGTCATGTCCTCTCGGCTCTGGGGATTGAACCGACGACCTTCCGGTCACAGGGTTCCCAAACGTCCATCCCACGATTGCCCCCGTAGAGAATGTGTTCACTTATTTTCACTCAGAAAATCCACAAAATGTGTAATTTGACCAGCGGTGCCCAAACTGTTGCATACTTTTTCATGTTTAGACTAAATATTTTAAGAACAACATGCTATTAGATGATCAAAATGTGGTTATCTTTTACGTCATTCTTGACACATTTAAAATTTCTCATGTTTTAGGAATATCAGTGAAGTGAATATCGCAGGTCTAGCATAGTAAAATCACTTATCTGCAACCACATTGGTGTTATATTAATGAAATTCCAACCCTTTGAATTTGTAAACTTTTGAATGGTGGTTTATTAAACCGGTTTTGGAACATTAGTAATTGAAAACAAGCATATCTATAAAACAGAGCTTTGAATTGTAGGTATTTGGACCAAAAAGATCCATTGAATCCCCTATGCAAATGAAATGCTTCATGCAAAGTGTATGAAAACTCAGCCTGACACAAATCAGTGCTCAGAGAGATGATGTTCCTTTTTTGAACAGCAGACATCAAACATAGCTTTCCTGTAGCACCACTTAGCCCTGTTGCTGTGATCATGGTTGGTTTGTTACTATGGGGTCTATTAGAGCAGGGAAGGCATGTGTGATGGAAAGTTGTAGGTACACAGCTGACAGCTGATAAACCGGGGAGAACAGTGAGTGGGTGGTGGCTGTTCCCTTTTCAGCTGTGTGCATTATGGGAAAAGGGTTTGCCAGTTTCTGTTGGAGGCTCAGCTTAGACTACCTGAATAATCAAGCCATTAGTGGTCATGATGAGGTGTGAAATGAAATGAATGAGAAGAGTGAATCAAACTGACTGTAATGTGGAGTGAAAAATGAAGTGAAATATTGCAGTGGGAGTGGTTGGGGGGGCTTTTATCTGTACCCGCTGCGACGTAACTTTCCAGAATGTTATCCATGATGTGTCACAATAAGGAAGACCAGAAGGATGATGGTACATCAGTGCGGTCTCTTCCTTGATCAAAGGCGAGGAATATCATTAAGCTCCAGGCAGAATACATTTTCATTAATGGGGTAAATAATTTTCAGTTCCTAAAACAATGCACTTCTCATATTTCTAAAGGGAGGCTGATGCACCTGTACGCTATCTGTGTGGACTGTCTGGAGGGGGTGCACAAAATCGTGTGTATAAAATGCAAATCTCGGTGGGACGGAAGCTGGCACCAGCTGGGCACAATGTACACTTACGACATTCTGGCGGCTTCACCTTGTTGCCAGGTAAGTAGTGTCTGAGTGCGCCTGTAGAATAAAAGTGATAACGGTTTACATTCGAATAAAACAACAGAGATGTTTATATTGTGATTAGCCATTCTTACATATGGCACTCTGGAAACTCCTTGTGTTGCCCTTTATCTGTTGAAGTAAGTTTAGATGTCAACATTCAAATATAACGACCTGCAGTGCGGCTTGAACGCCTGTGTACCTTTTAGCATTATGTGCATTTTTTTTACTTAACATTTGAGCTAAAATAAAATCAGGGGTTACAGAAACGTTTTAAGTCTGAAATCTTATCTGCTTACTCACCGTGACAACTTCAGTTAGGACTGAAGCTCTTACAGAACAACAGTTCTTAGGTTAGCCTTTTCAACTCAAGACCACCGGTGCTTCCAAAACACACTTTGTCATATTCTTCATAACTTTCATATTTCATAAGCTACATTCAAAAGGTGGGGGTCGTATGAGAGCTGTAACTGTCTTCTTTCCAGTCAAATAGATGGGTGATGTAATTTTAAACCCTTATAATAAAAGAAGCTGAACTCTCAATTTTTTTGTCTACTGAAAGTCGACCCATTTTTCCACAAATCTGGGCTATAAACTATAAACAGATGGCGTCTCTTCAGTGATCTGCCCTGTAAAAATTATTTTAATAAAAAAATACTCAGAGTCTACGTCTACCATTTTTGGCTTTCAGCAGTAAATTGTAAGCATATAGCAATATGTGTATGATCATAAAACACATTCTGTTAATTTGAGGGGAGCTTTTAAAAAAAATAAATAAATACAAATTTACATTTATTTCATGCAGTTACTGAACAATTTGCCTTATGATTCGGTCATGTAAATTCAGATGGAAAAACCAAAATATACCCTGGGGAATAAGAGGTTAATAATTGTATCCTAAATCCAGATAAGAAAACAGTATTACAGAAACATCCTAACTAGACAGAATTTCCTAAATCCTGTCCTAACTTTAAGATAAAACCCAGAGGTGTCTTAACTTCTGTTTTAACCGTCTGTTTCTATTGTTTTATGCAGTGACAGGCAGCACAGTTCACTGTAACCAGCATAATGATACAACATTTATCTACTCCGGATACGGTGCTGTGAGTTTTTTTTCTAAAAGCCCAGACGCTGCAGACTCGATCTCCACCGTCCCTCTGATTACCTTCGTGTGTTAATGTTGATGATGAAATATTACAGTGATGGTGGTGAATAATGAGGAGACGGAGCTGAACGTGTGTCTGTTTATTAGGAGGAGTAACGTTAGCGTGCTCGGCTAAAGCGTTTGGGAAATGGAAACTGAAACTGCGGAGCGGCGACTCTGATAAACAGCACGAAGCGCTGATACAACATTATTAACTTTCAGTTTATCGCACTTTAGTTTTATTTGACCTTTTTACATCGGCAACGGCAGCTAACATTAGCTGCCTGGCTAACTAAATTGATTATTTTGATTACATGTTTATGTTTCAGCTGTGTGCCTATGGTCGGTTGCTAGGTAACAGACATAACAGTTGATGGTCAACTTCGATTGAGTAGGTTAAGATTTCCTAACTTGAGAGACAGCCCCCAGATCTTCATTTAAGTCAAATGACACACACAATTATATAGTTCTCCATTCCTTTATTGAACTAAGTGATCAAACGTCATATATGTTGTTTGGCAAAAGTTTGTGAACCTTTAGAGGTATCAGTTTGGTGTAGGTGATAATTAGGAGGTTCAGTCAGTTGGATGACAATCAGGTATGAGTGTGGCTGACCCTACTCTATTTAACCTCTTATTCTCCAGGGTATATTTTGGTTTGTCCTCTGAATTTACATGACCAAATCGTCAGGCAAATTATTCAGTAACTGCGTGAAATAAATGTAAATTTTTATTTTATTTATTTATTTATTTTTTGTAAAAGCTCCCCTCAAATTAACAAAACACGTTTTATGATACACATATTGCTATATCTTACAATTTACTGCTGATAGCCAAAAGTCTTAGACGCTCTTTGTATTATTTTATAAAAATAATTTTTACAGAGCAGATCACTGAAGAGACGCCATCTGTTTATAGTTTATAGCCCAGATTTGTGGAAAAATGGGTCGACTTTCAGCTTCTTTTATTATAAGGGTTTAAAATTACATCCCCCATCTATTTGACTGGAAAGAAGACAGTTACAGCTCTCATACGACCCCCACCTTTAGAATGTAGCTTATGAAATATGAAAGTTATGAAGAATATGACGAAGTGCGTTTTGGAACCACCGGTGGTTTCAAGGAGTTGAAGAGGTTAGCTTAGAAAATCACTAAAATATTTGACTGGGGTTGCCCAAACTGTTAGTGGTATGACATTGAATTCAGTTGCATTGTTTGAACACCAAAGTTCACAAACCAGCAGCAACAATGAACAGCATATTCCAGGAGGCTCATTAGTAACATGGATACAGGCGTCATTTTTCTTCACTCAAATTTTGTCTAAAATATTGTTCAAATACTGAATCCAGTATTGAGAATCAAATAAAACATGTGCCGAGTGCTTAAAGTGCTTAGTTCAGCGGAAAAATCTAACTAAAGTGATGTTTGATATCCGGTATTTATCTAGTTTGCAGTGGGAGATGTTGCTAACAAACACTGGACTTGGACTGTCACCAAACTCATCTCTGTAAATACATACCAAAATATTAATGTAATGCTTCAAAAATCTTTAAAAAATAGTCAAATGGCATAGATAGACCTTATGTGGACATTTAAGCTGAAATTAGAACTACCTTTTCACCTGCATAACACCCACCTTTGTAGTATTACTCGTCACTGTGCGGCCATCACGTTCGTTTTTTTAGCACAGCTAAGGCTTCCTAACTGTAAGACAGCTAGAAGTTGCATCTCAAACAGTGGTGGACGAAGTACACAAACCATGTACTTGAGTTAAAGTAGAGATACCCAAGGTAAAATATTACTCCAGTAAAAGTAGAAGCTCCTCCATTTAGACCTCCACTTGAGTAAAAGTACAGAAGTATTTGCCATCAAATGTACTTAAGTATCAAAAGTAAAAGTACTAAAAGATTAATTATGATTCTGATGTCCTATTATCATTTCTGTAACAAGACTCGCTTCATTAACTCATTTTAGGTGAAAATACTCCAGTGTCTCTCTTGGTAAACCAGTCTTTTAATAGAGTCATTAATTAGTGACGCTGACGTCTATTAAAATGATCATAAGCACAAAACACTGAAGGCAAACAGTTTCCATCAGGTAGAACTGAGTGGCTCTGAAATCACTTTTTACAAACAAGCAAAGTTTCAGTTTAAGATTTATTTGCAAGTTAGTTACAATTTAAGTTTAATAAAAACGTATTTTTCCTTTACTAAACTGCATCTGTAGGTCTCTGTTCATAAACATAAACTAGCCAAAACTAATTTACTATAAAATGAAAGTGTTTGTATAAATTCAGATGTCAGTCACAACTGCATATGTGTACATATTTCTATATTGTGGTCTGTTTACACACAGTTAGGTTAGTTCATCATTCATGTTGAATAGACTCTCCCAAAATTTTACGCTGCTGCACTGACGTTGAACCGTGTGCTGCACTGGGTCGGTATGACCAACAGGTCAAAACAAGCTCAAAACAAAGTGACCGCTGTGCCCTGATTGGTGTTTTTGCTTTGCGCTTTTTTCGTTTTGACATGTTACGTTTTTATTCACACATAAACCAAAAGGAACGACGGATTTCTCATAATGTAGTGGAGTAAAAAGTGAGACAGTTGACTTTGAAATGTAGTGGAGTGAAAGTAAAAAGTCACCCGAAATGGAAAAACTTCAGTAAAGTACAGATACATGAAAAAACTACTTAAGTACAGTAACGAGTCACATTTACTTAATTACTGTCCACCACTGCTCTCAAAGCTGTGAGGTGTTGCATTCCAGTTTCATAAACAGTAAACGTCTTCTTATTCGACTTTTCTGTTCCACCTTAAATGGTGCAGTAATTCCACCATGGCATTTGTACGGATGCCGTAATTTAACTGCTGCATCATGTAAGGCAGAAAATTAGAATAAGAAGCTGGTGAATCCGAATCCAGCTTCAGCTTCGTCAGAATCTCTACGAATGCAGTGATCGTTTTTCACCTGACGATTACAAGGCAGATCGCATGTGGGATGTTCTAAAATCTGCAGCTGTTCCAGGTAAATTTCTCCGGATGAAAAGTGGATTTGAGTTGAGCTTTGTTTACTTTTTCTCCATTTTCACTGCCCTTTTTCTGTTTACTTAGCTGCTGTGATGCCATGTGCAGCTAACATGCTTGATAAACATGCTTTCCACAGTTTGACAGTGGAAATAAATATCTACCATCTTCAATACCGATTTGTTCAAGCGCTGGCAACAATAGCTCGCATTTTTCAGCAGACACTCCACTGCAGTTGGAGGCTCATGACACTTTCCACAAGTAAAACCAATCAACAAGGCAAGAATCACAGTAAAATCATTGGTGAGAGGTTTAGAAACATCTTACGTTCCTTTCTTTGGTGTTTTGACTCTCAGTGTTGTCTTTATTTTTTGGATAATGCTTTTTTGAGGGTAACTAACAGCTGTATCTCTAAACAGGCCAATAGAGATATTCTAATATGACTTGAAGGCTCATTACACTAAAATCACTTCTTTTCCTTTTACTGATTATTATTCTATGCAGTTTTTATCGTAAGTTAAGGTGAACTCATTATGATTTTGGAGAAAGTGGGTTTGTTTAGCAGAGAGGCTGAGGGCTGTACAGATTTAGTGCACATTTAAAAAGCCTCATTCAAACCTCAGCAAGACTTTGTCATTTCTTGTAATATCTTTAGAGAGCAGGTTAAGAACGTGGCAAATATGTTCTGATTAAACACTGTGTGAGTTTGAAAGCTTCTGCGCCACAAATATTGACAGTGTCTCAATTATAATCTAATTGAAATGTAATGAGCTTTAATGAACAAGCCGTCATTCGATGTACCTGGGTAGGCGATACAGTATTGCCT